TGCCCGCTGGTTTACGATTTGAATTTTTTTTTTTTTTTTTCTTCTGAGTAAATAGCTAGACTGTTGTTTGTATTGGTGGCAAATCTTTCAAAAGCCGGGTGAATGTGATTATTTGGAAACTGTTGTTGTTGTTGGGTTGTTATTGTTGTTGGCTTGTGTTGTTGTTGGCTTGAGATTCAAAATTATGAGCAATTGACGGTACCCACGTTGATGCCCGACTACCCAACCACGAGAAGGTTGCATACATTGGTCAGAGTGGTTCAACAGCTCATAATGCCATGGTTATATGCGACTTCAACATGTGTTTTATTTTTGTAGTGGCGGGCTGGGAAGGGGGTGCACATGACAGTCGGATTTTCTCCTTTACCACTAAAAATAGATCGCAGTGTTTCCCTCACCCCACATCAGGTTAGTTTTGCTTTGCAATTTGTTTATCTGAACTGATAATCTTTTTAATTAACAGTGCTTTTCGTACCAGGAAAATATTATTTTTTGATGTCGGATATCCTATGCAAATGGGATACCTGAAGCCCTATCCTGACACACGATATCATCTTCCTGATTTTGAGAGAGCAAGTGACACCGTCTGTGGCAGAAAGGAAATGTTTAATAAACGTCACTCATCTTTACGCGGTGTAACAATTGAAAGAACATTTGGGGTTTGGAAGAAGAAATGGGTCATCCTACGTGATATGCCGTCGTATCCTTTCCAAAAGCAAGTGCATATTGTGGTTGCAACAATGACACTACATAACTTCATCCGAAGTCATTCCTCACGATCAGATACAGACTTTAGCATGGCTGATAATGATGAACTGAATGTCTTCAAGCAAACTCCTGGAATTATGGGTGAGAATTCATTACCTGAGGATGATGTAGACTCTAATGAATTTGGAGATCATGAATTTGGAGATCATGTCATGATGGTGAAGGTTTGACTGATATGATTGCTTTAAGGGAGTCTATTACAAATGTTATTTATGGCTGCTGATCTACCAAGTTTTTCTTTAATAAGATTATAGGTTTATATTCATATGCTTATAATTTTGGTTTTTCTTAAAATATCTTGATCTGAAATTTGGTTTCTTTGTTTTTTTCGCAGTCATACACACATGACTTCTACGATATCAATTACGGACAGAGGTATTTTGTGTTCTTGTGGACTACCGTCTCCGTTGCTCGCATCACGTCAGTCTCGTAGCTTTGGGAGGCAGTTCTACGGTTGTGCCAAGGGTGTTTCAGCTCATTGTGGTTTCTTCCGGTGTGCTAACAGTCCCGCATATTACACTTCCAGCAGTCATGGGAATGCGATGTTTTCCGAGGTTGATAGTGCAAATGATGAGAGACGTAGCAAGAGTTTCAAATTAAATATATTAATATTTCTCATTGTAGTTGTACTTGTTTTTGCATTTTTTTTATTTCTTCTGGTACTTACGAGAATGTGAGAACTGTATGTTA